AGATAAGTGTTATGCTGTTAATGTTTCATTCATCATTTCCCATTGTATTGTTTATGTACTACATCTATATTTCATGTAAAAATTTTTTTTGTTTTAATACTTCTGGGTGTCAGGAACTGATTAATTGTATTTACATTATTTCTTATGGGGAAAATTGATTCGAAAATCATAGATTTCGATAATAGTAGCAACTCCAGGAACGGATTAACTACGAAAAACGAGGGACCACTGTAATATAATAATAATAATAATAATAATAATATCGTTATTTACTACACATACATGTACAAGGTATACAGGCCTAACTGACATCAGTGACATAATATTGCATAGAAAGGCACTTGTTATGCTGAGTATTTCTAGAAAATTAGGTCAGTGTCCCAGGATAACACCCACACTAAGAACATAAGAATGGAGGAACACTGCAGAAGGCCTACTGACCCATGCAAGGCAGGTCCTTATCAAAACAACTACTACCTAAAGCTTCCCTGGAAATAACTCCCGTACCCAATGACACCAATCAAACCCAGCCCTTCCCACTCGTATATTTGTCCAGTCTCTTCTTAAAGCTACCCAAGGTCCTAGCCTCTATCACCCCACTGGGAAGACTGTTCCACGCATCTACAACTCTGTTAGAAAACCAGTACTTACCTATGTCCTTTCTAAATCTAAATTTATCCAACTTAAATCCATTATTCCTGGTTCTTACCTGGTTCGACACCTTCAGTACTTTATTAATATCTCCCTTGTTTATGTCCTAGTTGACTAACACCCAGGTACCCATTTACTGATGGGTAAACATAGACAACAGGTGTAAAGAAACACGCCTAATGTTTCTACCCTGGCTGGGAATCGAATATTTACAAAAATCATATATGGCTATCCCAAGCCAGGTACTAAAAATAAGCCACGTTGACTTTTTTGGGTTATCCTAGGTTCTCTACACACATGCTGCTATGTGTGATAATCTATAGAGAGAAAATAACTTTATTGTTTCAGGTTTATGGTGCAGTACGAGTGTATATCACAGTTAGCCCTGTGCTATACTCCGTTTTCTCTAATATAAGCCCCAAGACAGGGATAGGAGAATGGTATTTGTATACCATATCCTCTTCATACCTTTGTTGAACTGCTCGGTGTTATGCCAAATATTATTTATTCTGGAGTATTTAACATGTTTTATGTTATTTATATTGTTTATTATGTTATATAAGATCAATTGTGATAGGCAAATAAGCTGTAGTGTTGATATTAGTGTAATAATAAAGCATATTCTCCTGCTTCGTAAGACTGAGCTCATGGCAACCGACAGTGGCTTCATAGCCACCTTATCTTTAATGGATAATGTACTGTGTAGGTGCTTTACATAATGAGAAGCATTTCTTTTATTCATTGGAACCATAGCTAGGGCTAAAAGTAAGCAGGTTAAAACAATAAATGGAGAAAAAGAAATTGGAATGACTTATGCAGCAAGTAGCGCCACCAAGCAGTACCAGCAGGTTGGTGTGGCGACCCTGGAAATTTGAAATTATGCTAGCCAGAATTAGTGCCGAATAACTGAAGGAACCGAATAACTGATTGCCGGATTTGTGATGGCGGACCTGTAGTATTTATTTGTAGGAATTCAGTGTAGGTAGCCTGTTGATGTAGGTACACGTATGTAGCCCTCCCCTGGGCTACACTGCACAGCCATATTATTACACTACACAGCCATATTATTTCATTGACATACCATTTTCACTGAGTTTAATTGTTTGTAACAACTACCTTTAGATGCCATCATAAACAAAGGGAGAGGTAATGAATAGTTCATGCTGAGAATTGTAAACAAATGCATATGAAGGGCAGTTACTGCATCAGAGAAAACGTAATGTTTACCTTCCACCCACCTCTCTCCAAGCTCTTTGATTCGCTGGTACTCACCACTCTATAACATATGAACATTGCGTGTTATATGCTATCTGCTATGTAACATGTTTCTTATATAATTTTGAAGAAAATATCATAGATGAATTAATGAAAATGTCTATATTAACCTAAAATTAGACATTTAATGTGCCCAGGAGTGATTATTATTTAACATATATCACATATAAACATTGCATGTTTTTTTATATACACTACTATATAACTTGTTCCTTATATAATTTTGAAGAAAATATCATAGATGGATTCAGAAAAAGTCTATATTCACTCGGAGAAACAAAGCCACACTGACTCTCAACGCCTGCGCTTGGAGGCGCAGGCAGGTGAACAGGTCTGATCGGTTCAGCCAATTCCAGTGTACTAGTTGACAAAACTCATAACTATTTCGCTAGAACTCCATTTTTTCTATCGAATGAGTACAATAAACCACCCATTTACTGATTTCAACTATCCAATAAAGTGGTCAGAATTTAGCAATTTTGCCAATTTCACACAAATTTCAAAAGATGCCAATTTCCGAATAGGGTCCAGAATAAACAAGAAAGACATTCCTGGCACTAAAATAACAAGTTCTCTGTTCGTTAGTCACATCCCCAGGCCCCTCTTATATTTCTTTGGTTTTCCACTTAGAATTTTTATTCTTACAAAAAAAAATAAGATTTACTGTTATGCAGACAACTATATTAGTGTAGAAATGGTATAAATAATATCAGCGCACTTGTGAAAGAATATTAGACTCACCAGTTGATGTGTATTAGACGCTTGGCATGATTTGTTTACTTTTGAATTTCCGTAAAAATCGAACATTTCTGCTACTTTGAGCTCAATTTCAAGGTACTTTTCATTGTAAAACCAGTCAAAATCATCTCAATTTCTGTAATATGTCTTCCATTCTATACAATGAGACCAGGAAAATTAAAATACAACAATAAATACCATACGAAAATACAGTGCAAAGTCTCTGTTTTAATCCAAAAACACGGTTAAAGTTTTTTTTTTTCTCATTATGCACTGTGTGCTGCAGGATTTTTTTTATACTGCGCACACTGACCACACAGATCCATTCTTTCATATGTAGGCCTACCAGCTTTCTCTCACTAGATTTGAGGGCGCTAGAATTTAGGTGTACTAGTTCGTCAAAAACCCTGGGTCGTAAGACGTACTAGTGTTATTTCATGGGACCGACTCTGGCTTCAAAACCGTAATTTTATGGGACTGACCCCGAAAGGGTTAACCCTTAAACTGTCCAAACATAGATCTACGTTCACGTGCGCAGCGCTCCGACCTTGATTTTCCCCATTTGAAAGCATGTAAAAAAAAAAACGTAGAGCTACATTCAGAGCCCCCCTCGTGGATGTAGATCTACGTTTGGACAGTTTAAGGGTTAATCTCGTTTCTTGGGGATTGCTGTATACCATTTATTTATTATCACCACAGGGTCTCAGAAATGCCAACAAATGTAATTAAATTAGTTGATTCCTGCATATCAGTCAGTACATAGTGTTTTCATATCCTTTGCATCTATGCTAAAATGTGCAGATGCTGGAGATGTCTTTATACAAATTGAGAGGAACTCCAAGATTTATATATCTTCTTTTTCCTTCCACTTGAATAATCAGTATTATAAAGAAGGCAACTAAATATAATGTGAATACAGTACAGGTCGGCCATCACTAATCCGGCATCATTGGGACCTGTAGTGTGCCGGATTAGTGAGTTTGCCAGATTACAGAGTGGTTAGGTTAGAATACACTTAATTAACCTATCAGCAGAGACTTTCTGCTACAGCTTCTTCATTTTCATCATTGCTTTCTCCTCCACTGGCTTGCTGCTGTGGATTTACAACCATCTGCACAATTTCAGAGTCAGTATAATTATGAAATTTGAAATTATGCTAGCCTAAATTAATGCTGGATTACTGATGGAACTGGATAATTGATTGTTGGACTAGTGATGGCTGACCTGTACCATGTGTATACTGTTTATACTGTTCATCAGTTCAATTGTTAAACTTTTATTTTGTGAAAATAAATGACTTTCATATTCTGGGTTGACAGGAACTGCGCCTGTCCATGAGAGTGACTCTCCTAGAGTTTATACGTCCTCTGCTTACCTTTCTTTGCAGAATAATAACTAAAAAAAAAATAAATAAAAGAAACCTGGATTTAATGTGTATACAGCACCTACATCATATTCATTTGGGCATCAGTTTAGTTGGCACATTGGTATGTTGTGATAAAGATGGACTTTCAGTGGTGGTACTGGTTGTTAAGGGTCACCACAGTCTGAGCCTATGACCACTCTCTGGCACTTACTGATATTTTTATTATTAAAAATGCAAGGGAAATGATAATTTTATGTTTTTATTGTAATAAATTTATTAATATGTACTATTAGTTTATGTATGCAATTTTTTTTAGGTACAGTGTGAATGTGATTTAAATAAAAATAAATAATAATTTAAACTCCCAATTCTATGTGTTGGGTAAGAGATTAACCCATGTTTGAGTGAGCTAATAGAAGGAATGGATGGTTGGTAAGAGCTGTGGTGGTGGATAGTGAGGAGATTGTTTGGTCACAGTTGTAGCAGTAATAGACAATTCTGTAGGCAGTAAACTTTGTTGTTTCTGAATCAGTTGACACAACAGATTTTGTCCTGTATTTCCAGGACTCATTATATCTAGGTCTCTTCAAGTGAGGATTTACATAACTAATTTCATATATATTTATACTCCTTTGTACATACATGTATCATGCTGAAATAAAATTATCCTTGTTATTATACATATTTTTTACATGGTACACAGCACTAAGAAAGTGCAATGTCTCAGAATCATTATACTGCTCTGTGTATGTACTATTCATAATGTTTTATTACCACATTAGCCATTTCTCACTGAGGTGTTGTTGAAAAAGTTTGTATAGCCTCAGGAATTTCCAAGTTGCCAAAACTCCTTGATTTTTTTTACGATTCTATCTTCATTTAAGGCTGGGCCATGGTGCACCAAAATTGGAAATGCATCACTGGTGAAGACACTTAATGTTTACATGTATGTCTTCTCTTTTTTTTGCAGGCTACCAACTCTGTGATATCAGGAAGTGTGTACCATCCTGTCATATACCATTGGTTCTATGGTGTTGGTCGACCACAAGTCTGGAGGCCGTTCAGTTTCGCTGATTCATTTAACTTGGAGGAAGCATTCTTGCAAGGTTAGTGATGGCAACAACACACCTCTTTAACTTACACACCAGGTGTGTTATGAGTGTTTCAAACAAGAGAGCTCTGTTACTACTTTCAACATACACATCAGGTGTGTTACCAGTGTTTCAAAATACACACCAGGTATATTACTGGTGTTTCAACATACACACCAGGTGTGTTAATTGTGTTTAAATTTAAACACCAGGTGTGTTATTGGTGTTTCAACATACACACCAGGTGTGTTACTGGTGTTTCAACATACATGATATGTTACTGGTGTTTCAACATACACACCAGGTGTGTTACTGGTGTTTCAACATACACACCAGGTGTGTTACTGGTGTTTCAACATACACACCAGGTGTGTTACTGGTGTTTCAACATACACACCAGGTGCATTAGTGGTGTTTCAACATACACACCAGGTGTGTTACTGGTGTTTCAGCATATACACCAGGTGTGTTACTGGTGTTTCAACATACACAACAGATGTGTTACTGGTGTTTCAACATACACACCAGGTGCATTAGTGGTGTTTCAACATACACACCATGCGCATTAGTGGTGTTTCAACATACTCACCAGGCGTGTTACTGGTGTTTTAGCATATACACCAGGTGTGTTACTGGTGTTTCAGCATATACACCAGGTGTGTTACTGGTGTTTCAGCATATACACCAGGTGTGTTACTGGTGTTTCAGCATATACACCAGGTGTGTTACTGGTGTTTTAGCATGCTATGCTCTTATTCAAATCCCTAAAGCTACTGAATTTTTTGTTTTCAACACATCGCCGTGTCCCATTGAGGCAGGTGACTCAAAAAAGAAACACTTTCACCATCATTCATACATAATCACTGTCTTTGCAGAGGCGCTCAGATACGACAGTTTAGATGTCACTGCAAATGGCCAATATCCCAAACCCCTCCTTTAAAGTGCAGGCATTGTACTTCCTACCTCCAGGACTCAAGTCGGCTAACTGGTTTCCCTGAATTCCTTCACAAAATATTACACTGCTCACACTCCAACAGCTCGTCAGGTTCTAAAAACCTTATGTCTCCATTCACTCCTATACAACATGCTCACACATGCCTGCTGCAGGTTCAGGCTCCCTTGCACACAAAACCTCTTTTATCTCCCTCCATCCTTCCCTAGGATGACCCCTATCCCTTCTCCCCTCAACATCAGATTTATACACCCTCCAAGTCATCCTATTTTGTTCCCTCTTTAAATGACCAAACCACTTCAACAACCCCTCTTCAGCCCTCTGAATAATACTTTTAGTAAATTCACATCTCCTAATTTCCACACTACGAATTCTCTGCATAATATTTACACCACACATTGCCCTTAGACACATCTCCACTGCCTCTAGCCTCTTCCTCGCTGCAGCATTCACAACCCATTCTTCACATCCATATAAGAGTGTTGGTACCACTATTTTCTCATACATTCCCTTCTTTCCCTCCATTGATAATGTTTTTTTTATCTCCACAGACACCTTAATACACCGCTCACCTCTTTTTCCCTTCATCAATTGTGTGGTTAACCTTGTTCTTCATAAACCAATCTGTTGACATGTCTACTCCCAAATATCTGAACACATGCACTTCGTCCATACTCCCTCCCTCCATTGTGATATCCAATTTTTGTTTACCTAACTCATTTGGTACCCTCATCACCTTACTCTTATCTATATTCACTTTCAACTTTCTTCATTTACACACACTCCAAACCTCATCCACTACCTTTTCAACTTCTCTTTAGCATCTCTCAAAAGTACAGTATCATCAAGAAGAAGTAACTGTGTCATCTATTCTGTATTTAATTTCCCATAATTTATCCCACCCCTGTCCCCAATACCCTAGCATTTACTACTTTTACAACCCTGTTTATCTGGAGTTTATCTGGAGAGAGTTCCGGGGGTCAACGCCCCCGCGGCCCGGTCTGTGACCAGGCCTCCCTTAGGTCAGTGTCCCAGGATGCGACCCACACCAGTCGACTAACACCCAGGTACCCATTTTACTGATGGGGGAACATAGACAACAGGTGGAAAGAAACACGTCCAATGTTTCTACTCTGGCTGGGAATCGAACCCAGGCCCTCACCGTGTGAAGCGAGAGCGTTAACCACCAGGTTAAACAACCAAAGTGACATCACAGATCCCTGTCTAAGACCTACTTTTACTGGGAAGTAATCTCCCTCTCTTCTACACACCCTTACCTGAGCCTCACTATTGTACAATCCACATGTGATCCACATGCTGAGATCAGACATTCCCTAGAAAATTGCTGGAGAACACAGTCATCACACCAGAATATGTGGCAGATGTTGCAAGTGTATGGTGTAGGAGGTAGGTTACTGAAAGCAGTGAAGAGTTTTTACGAGGATAGTGAGGCTCAAGTTAGAGTATGTAGGAAAGAGGGAAATTTTTTCCCAGTAAAAGTAGGCCTTAGACAAGGATGTGTGATGTCACCGTGGTTGTTTAATATATTTATAGATGGGGTTGTAAGAGAAGTAAATGCGAGGGTCTTGGCAAGAGGCGTGGAGTTAAAAGATAAAGAATCACACACAAAGTGGGAGTTGTCACAGCTGCTCTTTGCTGATGACACTGTGCTCTTGGGAGATTCTGAAGAGAAGTTGCAGAGATTGGTGATGAATTTGGTAGGGTGTGCAAAAGAAGAAAATTAAAGGTGAATACAGGAAAGAGTAAGGTTATGAGGATAACAAAAGATTAGGTGATGAAAGATTGAATATCAGATTGGAGGGAGAGAGTATGGAGGAGGTGAACGTATTCAGATATTTGGGAGTGGACGTGTCAGCGGATGGGTCTATGAAAGATGAGGTGAATCATAGAATTGATGAGGGAAAAAGAGTGAGTGGTGCACTTAGGAGTCTGTGGAGACAAAGAACTTTGTCCTTGGAGGCAAAGAGGGGAATGTATGAGAGTATAGTTTTACCAACGCTCTTATATGGGTGTGAAGCGTGGGTGATGAATGTTGCAGCGAGGAGAAGGCTGGAGGCAGTGGAGATGTCATGTCTGAGGGCAATGTGTGGTGTGAATATAATGCAGAGAATTAGTAGTTTGGAAGTTAGGAGGAGGTGCGGGATTACCAAAACTGTTGTCCAGAGGGCTGAGGAAGGGTTGTTGAGGTGGTTTCGGGACATGTAGAGAGAATGGAGCGAAACAGAATGACTTCAAGAGTGTATCAGTCTGTAGTGGAAGGAAGGCGGGGTAGGGGTCGGCCTAGGAAGGGTTGGAGGGAGGGGGGTAAAGGAGGTTTTGTGTGCGAGGGGCTTGGACTTCCAGCAGGCATGCGTGAGCGTGTTTGATAGGAGTGAATGGAGACAAATGGTTTTTAATACTTGACGTGCTGTTGGAGTGTGAGCATAGTAACATTTATGAAGGGATTCAGGGAAACCGGCAGGCCGGACTTGAGTTCTGGAGATGGGAAGTACAGTGCCTGCACTCTGAAGGAGGGGTGTTAATGTTGCAGTTTAAAAACTGTAGTGTAAAGCACCCTTCTGGCAAGACAGTGATGGAGTGAATGATGGTGAAAGTTTTTCTTTTTCGGGCCACCCTGCCTTGGTGGGAATCGGCCGGTGTGATAATAAAAAATAAAAAATCCATCACACCAGAAAAAAATACCTCTATAATATTCATCACACCAGAAAGAAATACCTCTGTGTTATATATCTCACCAGAAAGATATCCCTCTATGATGTCCATCACACCAGGAAGAAATCCCTCTTATGATATCCCTGGTGTTGTGCAGGTGGATTGTGCATCTTAATACCTGAGCAGTGTCAAGATTTATGTTACATATTATGCAATCCTGCCATAACTTTCTTGTGCAGACTGTGGATATTAGTCATTATCAGTAGGGACATTTTGAACTTTTTGGTTTACCAAATCCTTTGAGTGGTAACTGGGAGAGTCTTGGTTTATAACAACTGATAGATGGCTTGACTACATGTTCAGCTTGGTTAACAGAGATGAACATGTCTTTAACATATCTTTCATTATAATTCAGGTGAACATCTCTCTAACACATCATTCATTATAATATAGGTGCTGGGAACTGTTTTCAAGTTCTGAGCACTGGAACACGTTAAAAGCACGAGTGAGTGATTTACTGTTTTTTTCAAGGAAAACGCTCAGTCTGTTGGGGTTATACAGCACCTGGAGAATGGTAGGTAATTAGGTTTGATCCAAGGAAAGGGAAGGAAAGTCCAATTCTTTGCATCTAGAGTGGCTGGTGGAACAAGGTCAGTTGAGCTGCCAATGGAAGACGGAAGTCACGAATTAAGGAAGTTCAATGGTCACCAACTTAGCATATAGAACTTATGAACCAGTTGTGTTCTTATACTTGAACTTGCTCAAGAGATGTTTTTGGTATTTTAACTTTGGAAGATGTTAATACACAGTGTAATAATGTAGAACTTGTGTTTATAAGTGTATATCAGCTGTGATAAAACCTGGCCAGGCAGGGCAGGGCAAGGCAGTTTGAGAATTGGGTGGTTCAGTTGTCAAACACTGTCACAAGTCTATGAAGATTTTCATTGTAGTTTGAGCATTGATTAGCCAGGGATACCCTGTACAATACTTGTTTGTCTCATTATTTGTTTCCTCTTTTTTTTTTTTTTTTTTGTAACCCTTTCACTGTCAGTGGCGTAGTACTACGACCTGCAAGCCAGTGTTGGTGCCGTAGTATTACACCAAAATTATAGCAGCTTCAAATCTTGCAGGACAAAGCTGGTAGACCTACGTGTGAAAGAATGGGTCTGTGTGGTCAGTGTGTGCAGTATAAAAAAAATCCTGCAGCACACAGTGTATAATGAGAAAAAAGAAATTCTGACCATGTTTTTGGTTTAAAATGCCGGATTTGAGGTGTATTTTCATATGGTATTTATGGTTGTATTCTCGCTTTCTTGGTCTCATTTGATAGAATGGAAGATATATTACAGACATAGAGATGATTTTGATTGGTTTCAAAATGAAAAGAACCTTAAAATTGAGCTCAAAGTAGCGGAAATGTTTAATTTTTGCTGATTGTCAAGAGTAAACAAATGATGTCACCATCCAATACATGCCCAACTGGCCAGTCTAATACACAGCCACGAATGGGTTGACATTATTTATACAATTATTACAATAATGCAGTAGTTGCATAACAGTAAATCTTCTATTTTTTGTGTGAATAAAAATTCAAAATAGACAGCAAGAGTAATATAAGAGGGGCCTGGAGGCATGACTGATGAACAGAGAAAATGTTATTTTAGTGCCAGGAATGCCTGCATTGTTTATTCTGGACCCTGTTTTGAAATTGGCCAAATTGCCAATTTCTGACCACTATTAGGTAGTTGATATCAGTAAATGGGTAGTTTCTTGTATTCAGTCAATAGAACAAATGGGGTTCTAGCAAAGTAGCTATGAGTTTGGGCGACTGGAACAATGGAGTTGGTCAAAAATAGGGCTCCAATTGGGCGAAATTGCTGATGTGTAAATATCATTGAGATCACTAACCTCGCGAGAGCATAATTCTGTAAGTTCTCCATCAAATTTTGCACTATTGGTGTCCTTACTATTGGGAAAAGATTCTCTGTCATTTCATAAGAATTTTTTTTTTTTTTTAAGTTCTTAGACACTGAGAGTAAGTTTGTGAGCAGGGGTCTCGACAGTGAAAGGGGTTAGTGAACTGTTTATATTCCATCAAGGCAGGGTGACCTAAAAAGAAAGATGAAAATTTTTCTTTTTAAATTTAGCAATTTACACAGGAGAAGGGGTTACTAGCTCCTAGCTCCCATCATTTTAGTCGCCTCTTACAACACACATGACTTAGAGGGAAGATTCTTTTCCCCTTTCCCATGGAGATGCTGTACATTTATATAAATGAAATTTATTTTCCCTTCTCTTTAATGCAGATAGCACGGAGCTGGTGCCAACAGAAGGTGGCAGGTACGATGTCAATGTAAAGGAGCGCACTCGCAGAGCAGTGTACTGGGAGCAAGATGAACCATGCCCTATTCGTCGTTGTAGCTGGTTCAAGAAAAGTCCTCTTGATGCCCAGCCTCTGCCATATGATGAGCAAATTGCTGAACAGTTGGAAGTAAGTCTAAGTCTGGGTCATTGTCATCTTCATCTTACTTGCCTTTGTTGCTGGACAGTTTTTTTTCTTTTCTTGTGACTAAGAGGATGTAATATGTATTATCCTTGTGTACTAATCAGAATTACATTTAGAAAATATTGTACCTTTTCATAGCTGAAGCACAATTTAGATGAGAAACCTAATATGTATTAGGTGCTATTCAAAAGGTCTGGTCTGCCACAAAAAAATGTAGGCTTACCTAATCATCTAATTGAAGTAGGCCCCTTGTACTACTCTCCTTGGTAGGCTATACACCGATCCCAGCTCTTCTGCCAATTCTCCAACCATTACTGGAACTCTCTTTTCCTATTGGTGTCTGATGTGGCTGCAATTCTACTTTAATCTCCATTTCATTAAAACGCTGAACCTTAAATATCATTTTTATTTTTGGGAAGAGGAGGAATCTCAGGGTGCAAGATCTGGGAGTAGCAAGGGTGGGACAACCCGCCATATGTGTTATTGGCCAAAAAGCGATGACCCCTGCTCTGTCTGATTCAGCAAGCTGAGCACAAATTTCAAACAAGCCTCATACTTCATGTTTGGAACTTTCAGTCCAAAATGCTTTGACATAAGAACATAAGAACACAAAGAACGTAGGAACACTGCAGAACGGCCTACTAGGCCCATGCGAGGCAGGTCCAAGACTCCTACCTGCTTAAGTCCAATGCACGCCAACTAACCTAGTCAGGTCCCATCACATTTACATATGGAGGAACACGGCAAACCGACCTGGTATGCACAAGCTATCACGTCATAACTCACACCCACCACGAATCTACTCATGTATTTATCCCAATCCTATTTTTAAAGCTACACAACGTTTCTAGCCCTCTATAAGACGGTACTTGGGCGTTTTGTATCCACTCATGCCACACTCTAATTAATACCAAACCCAGTTACTTTCCTATATCCTTCCTGAATCTGAAATTTTTCCCCAACTTAAAAAGTTAAAAGCCATGCTGCGAGTCCTGTCTAGTCTTAGATATTTACAAGCACACTATTTACATCCCCCTTATTTATTCCTGTCTTCCATTTTATACACCTCAATCATGATCCCCCCTAAATCTAAAACGTCTTTCTAGAGAGTGCAGTTTCAGGCCCTTAGTCTATCCTCATAGGGAAGGTTTCTGATACATGGATCTAACTTTGTCATCCTCCATGTACATTTTTCCGAGAATTTATATCCATTCTGTAATACGGTGACCAAAACTGTGCAGCATAATCTAACTAGGCCTAACATGATGTATAGAGAGTGGAAGAACAACCTGAGGACTCCTATTATTTAAGCTTCTGATATGAAGCCAAGGAGTCTATTAGCTTTATTGCGAACACTTATGCACTGTTTTCTTGGTTTTCAGATTACTGCAAACCAAACTCCTAAATCTTTTTTCGCAATCCGTAATATTAAGATCTACATTATTTAGTTTTATATGTGGCAATGGTTATTGTCCTGTCCAACTTTAAGAACTTAGCATTTGTCTATATTAAACTGCATCATGCCACATCTCCGACCACATCATCAGTCTAATCAAATCGTCCTGGATTGCTCGAATGTCCTCGACAGAATGAATTTCGACGGCCTATATTAGGTGTCATCGGCAAACTTGCCGAGTGTCGCGCTTTATGCCTCATCATGTCGTTTATGTAGATTGTGAAACAGCAGGGGCCCAACACTGACCCCTTGAACACCGCTCGTGACTCTTCCCCACCAGGATTTCACCCCCATTTATTCAACTCTCTGCTTGCCATTTGTCAACCATGGGCCTCTATCCAGGAAAAAATTTCTCCTCCTATTCCATGTGCTTTAAATTTCCTCCTCAACAGTCTCTGGATGTGGGACCCCTGTCAAAAGCCTTACTGGAAGTCCATATACACGATAAATATCTATATTCATAACCATGATCTACCTCCTCAAATACCTTAGTGAAAAAGTTAATAAATTCGTAAGGGCAGGAACGCCCCTTTGTAAAACCAATGCTGAGATTCATTGATTAATTATGCTTTTCAAGGTGGCTAACGAGACTGCCTCGGCAATTATTGATTCCATAAATTTCCACTATGGATGGTCAGGCTTATGGCTATATTTCGAAGGCAGCCTAAGGAACCTGTCCCTACCTGTTTTGAAAATATGTATCACATTTGCCATTTTTCCACTATATCCTGGCACCATGCCAGTTTGTAGTGATATGTTTTTTTTTTTTTTTTTTGAAAAGATTAGCCAAAGGTGAGCTAAGCTCCCTTACATTCCTTAGAACCCTTGCATACATTCAATCAGGCCTGGGGATTTGTTAGGTTAATTTATCTATTTGCCATAAGACCATGTCACTTGTGACCCACTAATAGTGCAGCAGTTTATTATCGTCTTGTTACTAATTTATCAATACTGCTCTCGCTGGTATCCCTCGCTGTGTAAAAACTGAAGAAGTAGTGTTTAAAAATTCCTACACATTACTTATCACTGTCATGAGCTTACGCCGAGGAACTTTTTGAGTGGGCCTATCTTGTCCCTCTGATCTTACTTCTGTATACTGAAAGAATCCTTTTGGGTTAGTCCTTTGATTCTCTGCCAACTTTAAACCTCCATATCCTTTTTGCTTTTCTAATTCACCTTTTTTATTCTCTCTTTAACTGAATATTACGATTTCTCAATTGCCCCTCTTCCTCTTTTGATTGCCTAATAATGCCTCTCTTTAGACCAATCAGATATTTTAATCTATTGTTCATACCATTTAGGATCATTTTTGTTTGATCTGATTTCCCTATTTGGAACAAATTAGACTGACACTAGAACTATGCCCTGGAAAGCATCATATCGGCACCGCACCACCTACCTGCCCCTTAGTCCATTTCCCATTCCAGTTCAGCCCACCCATAAGTAAATTTTTTCAGTCCTATGAAATCAGCCAAGCCGAAAGTCAGGGGACGAGACTTGATTGCCATTATTAGGGGAATTCCATGATATTTATAAAAAACTGAGTGATTTGTGATCACTTTCCCCAAGCTCCATCATTAACCTCAAGATTATTAATTAGTGATTCCCCAACTGGCAAGAACCAAGTCAAGGATGTTAATTTCCCCTAGTTGGCTCTGTCCACAAACTAGTTATTTAAAAAACAATCCTGGATCGTCTCAAGAAAGTCAACCTGACTCTAAATTTTCTGTCAAATTGCTCCAGTCAATCTGTCTATAGTTTGAAATCTCCCATTAGCACAACATTTTTCGTATGTAGATGCCTTACGAATTTTCGTCCCATAGAAGTTTACTGCACTCCCTATCAAGATTTGGGGCCCTGTAAATCACACCCAAAATTTTTTTTTTCTCGGCCCTCGAGAAGCTGTAACCAAACAGATTCAGTGGCTGACGCTTCTAATTTAATATCTTGTCTAACACAACAATTTAAATTGTCTCTGACATACATCGCTACTCCACCACCTTTCCTGTTGACCCTGTCAGTGTGGAATAATTTATAGCCTTGTATGTGACATTCAGAGGCATCTCTCTATCTTTCAGATTGAGCCAGGTCTCTGTTTATAGCAATAATATCTATGTTTCCTGCACTTGCAATTAATCTTAGCTCATCTATCTTATTTCTTACACTCCTGCTATTAGTATAGTAAACCTTAAGGGACTAGTCCCTTGCTGCTCTCTGCTGTCCCCCTTTGTTTGCTGACCTGATCTATTGTCTTTATTTATAACTTCATGCTGAATGCCTTTTATACATTTACTGTTTTCCAACCCCAATGTTGCCCCTGCTTTTTTCCCCCAAAAACCACCCAACCTCTATCTTCCATCTTTTAAATCATACATTCACCAAGGGCCTTCTCAACGAGTCTGCAAGGCTACCACCCCCCCCAAAGATGTACCCCATCCCTTCATCATACATTTTGCCATAAAAGTTTTCCTTTTGTCAATGAATGGGATTGCAAGTTCCTTGCAGTATCTTCAACCAAAATTTACCCCAAATTCCCCAGACAACCATTCTTTTCCCTACCCCCTTTTCTGGGCAAATGCTACATAGATTGGGATCCCCCCTTAGACTTAATAAAATCTATAGCTAAACCTTACTTTCTAGCAGCTTTTCTCTCCAAACCCTTCCCAATATCACCCCCACCAGCACGAACAGAAAATGGGCTTTTTCCCATTCCCTGACATGATTTTTCCAGCCTTTTTGACAAGCCCCCAACCCCAGCTCCGGGGAACCCACACTCAATCTCCATCTTCTTTTCCATTAAAAAAAGCAGGGTAAATTATCTTTACCTGAAGTCACCAACCACAAGAATGCCTTACCTCCATTACGGGGGCAGTATACCCTTACCTTCACTGGCCACTAAAGTACATTCACCCTGAAGAACAGAGAACGTTTTCCTACCTTCAGACTTCACTCTTAACTTTCCTTTACTCGAGGGCCCTTCCTTTACGGAACCCTCGCCACTTGTAGCAGGTGCTGGGACGCACCTCACGCGGTACCGTTGCCCCTCCCCAACACAGCCCCCCTTACAGCGAGAGACGACTGCACCTCACTTGAAGCCTCTTTCCCCACACTCCCCACCTCCACTCTCTCCCAACCCATTGAAGGGGTCCTTCAGCCCCAATCCCTCCGGAGAAGCAAGACCCCTCCTTAAACCCTCCCAAACCCCAAATTTTTTAAAACACTGCAGAAAAAAAGCCATGTTTTGTAACCGCCACACTAACCCCCAAACAGCCAGGGTCTGGACCTCACTGACGACGACCACTGACACTGACGACTAAACAAAAGTTCTACAACACTTGCAGTTTCGGGATACACGGATTTTCTTCATTTTTTTCAATGTTGCATCTGTTTTTAATTTTTGAGGGATACCAAGCATTCATCATCAACTGATGTTCATCCTGTTCTAAATCAAAAAAACCCACAAAAACACGTCTGACCCATTGCTTCTTTGCCAAATGTTTGCGGGACTTTTTGATTTCACTGTCTTTTGCGACTTGAATTTTCCCTTTCTATTGCACAAAATCAAACAACACACGACAAAAAAACAAAAAATCCTGTCCACTCACAGAAGACCCACTGCATT